TTATATGGGTACCTCTATTACATTAGTAGCGCTAAAAGCGAACTAATTTGATTTTAATAATTCTTTTAGTAATCGATAAAATGTATGTTATTTTAATAATTTAAAAACAAAATAAACAATTCAACAATGTTATAGTTGTGGACTAACGGTAAATTATTGTTGGCTTATCTTTTTGTACACTTATCGTTAATAGATCGGGTCAAAGTTGAACTTTGAATACCTACTTATCTACTCATTAGTTTCTATTTTAGCATAGGTACCATCGGACTGGCAAAATTATTATTTTCTTTTCCTGAGACGCAGTTATTCGCCATTCTCAATTCTTATTATTTTTATTTTCGTCGACACAACAGACGCAAATATTACAGATACAAGTGTGTGTGCTGCAAATCTAATTCGTCCTGATGATTTATAATAATACATTATATTGGTACAGGGGCGGATCCAGAGGGGGGCGATTGGGGCGATCGCCTCCCCCTGTTCACCGTAACAAACTTTAGTTTTTGACGTAATTACTTCAAGGGTAAATAGRGAAATCTTAAACTATTTTTTTTATACCAAACTTATGCTGGTACCACGATTATATTATATTATTTTTCTTTATAATCGTGACTGCTACTATGTTATCAGTTATATTTATTATTTGGTAATATACTACTATTATTAAATAAATAACCTAACTATAACAAAATTAATATTTTTAATTTTATCTATATCATATGTGTCCGTTAAAATCACCCCCTCCGTTATTTTGGTCTGGATCCGCCCCTGTATTAGTACAATCCAAAAGGAAACACTAATAATACGCAGCTCGTCGTTGTAAGATGTTTTTGATGCTAATGACGTTAATTATTAAATGAAATCGGTCTACATTCAGCCTGCACGGCAATCGGAACGATAAAACCTGCCCGATTTTTTTTTCTCTGTAGGTGAAACGAGTACAAGCGAGGAGACTCAAAAATGCATTCACGGTCACGTACCTTGTACCTGCCTACACCTATATAATATTTATGATACAAAACGCAATATGACGTATAATGCATAAAATGTTATTCCACGGCACCGGGCGGTCCAACAATATTATTTATCTGTGATTATTATTAATACCCGTCCATCTGCTATGGTGCTGCAGTGGTATGCGAAATCCCGGATTACCGAAGTAAAATCTCGGTACGCGTGTTTAAAGGGTTCAGGGCGATTCCATTTGAATTTATCGGGATCACTTATTCCCTGTTCACTTTACCCTGCAGCACGGGCACGTATACACGTTGACGCGCGTAACCACCTGCTCGATGGTCAACGTTCCACGGGTTTCGAGGTAGTGGCAGGTCGTAAATCCCGATAAAAAAAACAAAATAATAATACAATTTAAGAAACCCCGCCAGGGGTAGATGGTACGTATTTAGGGGATCACTTATTCCCTGTCCACTTTGCTGCACGGACACGTACACTTTGACAAGCAATCACACACAAAAAAACAAACAGTTTTTCTCAATTCAAACAACAATAAAAATGTTTTTTTTTTTTTTAAACAAACATATTTCCAAATAATGGGTAGATTAAAAACTCGAAAATATCATTTACCTACTTGAAAATATATCCTTATAATCCGTCCTAATTATTAAATCATTTATTATGTTTTAAAATAATTAAGGAGATATTATATTGTATGCACAAAATAAAATTATATATGCAATTGTTTTTTCTATAACGAGTATATTTATTGGTGTAGTGTAACATTTTTACATTTTTAAAATATTGTATTAGTTATCACTTAAGTATTAATAATCGATTAACTATCATTAAACATTTAAATTATTAATAGAAGAAAAATTAATTTGAGTTATCATTTAAGTGTATATAGACATCAAAAATTAATATAATTAGTTGTAGTAACTGAAAAAAAAAATAGAGTTTAAATAATGTTATATATTTTAATATTTTAATAGTTGTAGTCATAATAAAAAATATAATGTAGAACACATTTTGAACATTCAATCCAAACATTTTGTTTTTAATCCACAATGTTTAATTTTAATTGTTTAAAACATCATTAAATTAAATGTTTTAAAATAAAATATTTAAAACTGCGAACCCTGAACACTGTGATGGTCAACGTTCTTGGGCTTAAGTAATCGCCAGGAAGTGATTTCGTCGTCGTTGGACCCAATAAAAATAAATTATTTAATAACATTGTTTTGGGGGAGGGTATTTAGGCTTTTGAACTTTTATTTATAACGTCGTCCCAATCGAACACTAAACTATAATATGTTTGATATTTTATCGGTATCGCTATGATACTACACAATAACTTTTGTGACATTATAATATACTAAAAACAAAAATATAGAAAAATAACCTTCACCGTACCACTCCACACCCAATAACCTATGTCGTGAGGGTTCCCATTTAAAATATACATATGACGTATTATATGTATATATACTACACTCATGTATATAGTATACATTTAGTTAAATGTCACATCGTCTTGACGTAGAAAAGTATTGGACTACAATATATAATTTTGGTAATAATAAGCACGACGATAATTTATACAACTGTCTGTGATATTGATGATCGGCAATCTTTTTAGACTCGTGCATAACTCGTTTTGAAAAAATACAAAAAAATTCGTGAGCCAAGTCAGATAAAAATGAAAATGTTATAGACATATTTTGAAGGTACATTTATAAAGATTTGCAAATATATCGATATTCAATTAAATTTTCATGTAGGAGCGTGCCGTATTAAATAGTTGTGCCGCTGTTTGCCGACGTCTGTTTCATATTGTAATAATAAACACGACAAATTAGTGAAAAATCCCAGCAATAGCCTCTAAAACTGTGTTAAAAAAATTTGAGCCATAGATTCTAAGCTTTCCTACCCCTCATTAGTCATAGCCGTCACGAGTTGTTGTGCTAATGCAGAATGACAGGACGCATTATTATCGTATAATATCCAACATAGTATTATATCAGTAAAACATTGATTAATTTATTTCATTATTAAATTGCAGACACAGCATTCCATCTGCGGCGTCTGTGCGTCTGTTGACTGTGAGTTTGGAAAATGTGTGTACTAAGCTGCAGTCTATAATGTAATAACCAACACGACAATCATTTACACGTCAAATTTCCCAGAAATAGCCTTTAATTTAAAACCTTGTTCGAAATCCTCCCACCCACCCTTCGATATATAAAACCGTCCAGCATTCACGAGTTGTACCTACCAACGGACGAGTAGGCACATGACATAAGATATCACTATAACTTTTTTTTTATTTATTTATGGTATCAACTGAATTCATCGGTTTCATCGGTTATTAGCTGGTTTTTACTGCGGGAGAAGGTACGGTTGGTTCGAAACACGCCATGCATAATATGTATGTGCGGTGGTCACAAGAACTCGGATGATCACCTATCCGGGAACTGGTGACACTGGCCCGTGCTGACACTCTGAACACCTTCGTGACTGAAATTTGTCCAACATCACACAGACACCAGATCACTATTATCATTATTGTAAATATCAAACATAATATTATAAATATCGCTTTATCGATAAAACCATGATTCGCTTGTTTCAATTATAAAACCGTACGCCTGTGCGCCTGTTCGTGCGTACGTGTGGGAAATATGTGTACTAACCGCAGTCTATTTAATGTGATACTAATAAGCACGACGGTCATTTACACTTCAAATTTCCCAAAAATTGCCTTTAAAACTGTGCAGTTCAAAAATTATGAGCTTAACGGCCAGTAGCTGAGGACCAGGAGTTTGAGTGCCATGAGACCCAATTATTTGGATCTCAACTAGATTTTGATGACTGCCAAAATTATTTCACAATTTTGTTTTCTATTGACATGTCATATAAATATATATGTACGTCTTAAAAATAAAAATAATTTTATGTTTCCGCTATTCATATCAAAGTATAGAGCAGAATCTTAAAATCATAAATTTAATGACAAAAAACCGATAAATGAGAACCAATATTAGATATTATTTAATAAAAATAAATAAATAATATTTAAACCAAATGTGGTTCTCATGACAATGTAAAAAATTCACAGAAATCAAAATTTGAGTCTCATGGCCACATTGATCAAAAAACTATAAACACACATTCTGCTCAACCAGTTAAGCGACCAATTGCGTTTCTACCACCCTTCAATAAGTCCGCCCAGTAGCCATAAGTTGCTACAATGGAAGTGCACGGCAAAACTGCATAGGCGTGCGCGCGGATTGCACTAATGCGCAAGTGCTGTGCACCACCTGCGGCAGTGTGACTTTATGGCTTTACGGCTTGGTATTTGTTATAGAAACACATTTTTTAAGTATCTTACTATTAGTAAATCTTTGGAATCAGAGGCGGAGTGGCCCACCGGGATACCACGAAAAATCCCGGTGGTCTGATAGCTAAATGGCCCGTTCGGAATTCACCTGAAGTATAGACGAAAAAAAAAACATGGAAATAACGTACTGTTATGAGACAATTTATTTATCTATATAATACTATGAAGACGAAATCGAATTATTTATTTTAATTTTGTACTCGTATTTGATTTTTTAAATTCTGATAAATGATTATTATTTGATATCAATTCGCTTTGAAAAAAATTATTTTAAAGGAAACCACGTCAAAAAATAAGAGCATAAATACATAATATTATTTAGTGCATATTTCTGAGGTTTTTAGAGCATATAAATCCGGGCCCTAAATTATTGTTATTATTATTATTATTATTATTATTATTATTGTAATGCCTGACATACATAATATTATAATATTATACCTATCAGTAAAACTATGTGATTCATTTGTTTTGTTGTTAAATCGTACAAGACACGACGTCGTTGTGCCTGTGCGTGCGTGCKTTTGGGAAATTTGTGTGCGTAACAGTATATAAACGGTAATCGCGAATGGTATTGATAGCCGGCGGTAGAGTGGTGGACTGGATAGATAGGTTCGAAGTGCAGAACAAGAGGACGGTAGTTGGCGATTATTATAAAAAAGACGACGTTCTTTGGCGGATAATAACAGTTCGCAAACGGACGTATACGCAGTTAATTAAGACCAGCGGTTCAGCAATCATTCATTTCACACCACACAAGAATAGAGAAACATTATAACAATACGATGATGTTCAACAAATTCGCCGTAAGTTTTTGATATTTAATTTACGTTGTTTGTTAATAACATATAATACTGCTATCGTAGAAACTGAATTTCAAAATTATAATATAATATTAATAGAGAAAAATATTTTAATTAAAGGGCATTAATATGGTTTTGGAAAAAAGTAATATTCATTGATTTTCATTGTTCGTTTATACGGTTGACATTACACGCAGTAATGGTAAATWATTATTGTACCATAAATGTTACATTAATTCGATGCATATTAAGTTTCACCGTTCGTTTCGGTATACCATTAATTAATTAGAGAGAAACATATCATATAAGTACTTAAGTTTAACATATTATGTTTTGGGAACATTTTAATAAATCATAAATATATATTAATATTCTACCAACAGACAATTGTATAAAAATTATTGATATTTTCAACTTTTAATTATAAAATATGCACCTTTCATATATTTTTGTCATGAAGAAAAATGTCAAATTTRAATTCCTATAATACATATTTTATTTTATCATATAGTATAAGAAGTATGAGTTGAAACAATAGCCTTCCTAGCGGTAAAAAAAAATCTGAAGAGTAAAAATAAAGAAAAAAACATTAGCTATTTACACTAAATAAATTATGTGATTAAGTATGAAAATAAATTTAAAACCAAAGTAATCTATAAAATACTTATTAAGATTGCAGATTACAAAAATACTAGAAATGTTGAATATTTGTTCAAATCAAAAGTATATTATATATATTCTAAAAATCTAAAATATTTTATTATATTAAAATTTTCGTCAATATTAATATATTACTACCTACTAGATGAATTATTAGAACGAAAATATAAAACAAAAAACACTTCTTTTCGTTCGTTGATATTTAATTGTAACTATTAAATGAAAGTTGTATTTTTTTATTATAAATGCTCGTTTGTACTTCTAATGTTACTAAATATGTAGTAATAAATAAATATGAATGTCAAAAGATAAGTTAGAGACGGGCACGGTTTACTATTCTATGAGACCTTCTATACATTAGTATCAGACTTCTAAGGGAAAACTTTGTATATGAATCTTGAACTATGTATTATAAAATATAATACTTCTCTAAATATATTAGAACGACTTGTTATGGAATATAACTCCACAACAGGTGGTATACAAATTTAATTTTAATAAGACACTAGYTATAATAGGTATTATGAATATATTTTCTTTTGAATCATTTTCATAGTTAATGTTGAGTTCATATTTTCGTGTTCTGTGATGTGAAATGATAAAATTGTTTAATTATAATACCTTTGATAAATTGTATGCAGCTATTTACTGACCAAAAAAATACTTAAGATATGAACATATTTAATATGATATTCCTTTTAATATATTATGTTACTTAATTTTAAATTTTTACTATATTTTTCGTTACAAATAAGAGTACAATTTTCCATTAATAGTACACTATTTCTTCARTAGTTAATATTACATAATAAATGCACTAAAATAATATCAAACTTATAATAGCATGCTTTATTAATAATATATTTTTGACACATTTTTAATATAATATATAAAAAAATATATATAATATATTATGTTAAATACAACTCCAAAAGAAAGACTAATCAGTTTAATTACAAAAGTAGGTTAGCTTTACCCAGTATGATATTGATTTTGCTACAAAAAAAGAGATCAACAAATTTAAACGAGCTAAGTTATATAATCTATATCATTATCTAGTGTTAACTAAGAAATTATAAACAAAAATATATTTTATACTAGTTATTTTAATTTTTATAATAATATGAAAACAATTATAATGATATATCTTACAATACTTAGAAATGTATTTAGTTATTTTAAAAATCACAATGATAAGATAACAGAGATCACAAAGTATTACTTATTAATAAAGTGTTACTACATGCAAAAATAATAATATCCAATAACAAATGTTAGGTACCTACTCGGTGATTATAGTAGGTAGAAACAAACTATTTTTATTTTTTGTAACCCTAATTCAATTTTTACCAATTCTGTTATAATTGTATTGATTCAATTTATGATATCWACAAACAAAATTATTTATCTTTTACTAATAATATTATAGTTTCTAAATTATGAAGTTTCATCATCAAATAAGAAATAAAATAATTTGATATGAATGATTTGTATCGTAATAATTATTTGTTCAAACTAGCTATTTACGATATCAACAAAATTGAATCAAAGCTAAGAAAAAGTCATGATAAAAATTCCAATATACTGGTGTGGTTAATTTACACCCTAGAGAAATTAAAATACACAATTAATGTGGGGCTTCGCTTCAATGAACCAACAAATTATCACCAAACAAAATGAATGATAGGCAGACTTTTACAAATTGCTTTACTATAGTCTTCATTTTTAATTGACTAAACGCCATAAATTCATAAGCGAAAATTCTGATTAATTAGATAATCATAATATCAGTTATCATAGTTTTATTATATTTGCAGTTTAAACACATACCATATTATTAAGGTATTAATTAATGATTGCATTAATTAGTATTCAAAATTAAAACGTAATACCGGTATGTAAGTATGATATTATTCAGTTTAATAATCTTACAAAAACGAATTCCCACGCGAGTTAAAATTATGAAGGCGAATAATRTCTGCCTTGAAATTTAAATATAAAATGCTCGATTTACTGCGAGTCAAAATTGTTTGTKTTATTTTAAATACTGGAGTTTCGACAGGTTTTAAAACATAGTATAATATTATATTATTATAACATTATAACCTTGAATGTGTAAACGATCAGAAATTTTCTTGACCGTCATCGTACACTCTTCATAATTTGATTCCAACTGAAAACGTACACTGCACGGTRTTAATAATGGTATTACCCATCATATTGCTTCAACCTTCAATCATATATCTAATATAATATATCTAATATATCTAATATAATATAATATCATGTGTGTACACAGTGTGCGTTGTTCACTTAATCAGTGGCGTGTTTGAAGAAGATGTGTAAGCACTAACCCACCTATTTTACCAACMYGGGAAAGTTTGCCATCGGTGTATTTATTATTAATTATTATGTTAAATATGTTATCTCTTACACTAATCAATATTAACCAAAAATTACCGAATAAAATAAAAAAAATGCAATTAAATAATATATTACTTCCACAAAAATATGAATTCAAGGAATCGATATCGAATCTGGTGTTTGGGGAAGGGGGAGTGCTCTCGGAGTAACAAACCTCAACCCTTCCACCTTTTAGCTGAGTTTCAACCACGGTTATCTACTGTTGATAGCCGTGGTTTCAACTAATGATATCCAAGACGTGTATATTAACGAATTTCCGGTTTTGCATAGGTATTCGCCTTATTGGCCGTCACCGTGTTGGTCGTGCCAGCCATTGGACACCCGACCGAAGACGCCACATCCGGGATCGAGGATACCGCAACGGCGGTGAAACAAGGTATCCGCGGTTGGCTGAAGACCGTCCACTCGAAAATCGCCAAACACGAAGAAAACTGTACTCACGGTGGTGGCGTTGTACATTGGGTGAAGAACAAACTGGGGTTGACGAAAAAAACTACTACCGAGATACCGACGACGACCACCATCACCACGGAAACCGATTATACTGGTTACATCCCGGTAACCTCGGTGGTGAACCAAGGAGAACCAGAAGAAACATACAACGGCGGTGATGATGACGTCACGATATTGGACGACTCCGTGGCGTTGGTCCCCGAGAGCGATAGCGGCAACGAGTCTGTCGATGTAGACCCAACATATTCATCGGTGACCGATAATGCCGTCGACCCAGTAGATCCCGATATCGATGTCCGCATGCGCTTGTAAACCAATTGGGGACTATTATTGTGATCGATAGTTTTTAGTCATCGTTTTGACTTCGAAAAACTTCGCTTGATAATTTAATCTGGTTTGTAATTATTGTTCTCGTATGCTTTTACATTTTTTTACGAACAAAAAGTTCCACTATTTTTTTTATTTATTTTTTTTTTTTTTGACAATTATTGTTGTTATTATGGACAAATATTGAGTATCTAGTACCTATACTACCTACCATCTAATCATTTATGCCATTGTTTAAGGCTGCGGCGTCGGTAGAATTTTTTGCACATGAGATAATTTAATTTATTTCTATAGCGGGTGCCTACGACGTACGAATATGAACAATAAAATGTTATTATTAAGTGGGTACTATAATATTGTTATTATTGTTTTTATAAAATATATTACTACTACTACCTAAAATTATTAATAACATTTTATTATTATTTTTATTATTATTATTATTATTATTATTATTATTATTACTATTATTATTAAAACAATGTATGATGTAATATTTAATAAAATATAGCTATAGGTATTACGATTGGCGATCTATTACGTTGTTGGTAGACCAATGCAGGTTTGATCCTTAACCTTGCGATTCATTATAACACTATAAGTACGTACCTATATACTAACCTACAGTACATAATAATATAGTATACCATTAATAATCTTAATTAATAGGATTTTTGATATAATTTAATTGAACTATGGAATAAAAATAAACTGTAAATGCTTTTTTCAATTCAAAGTTCAAGGGTATTGATTTTATTTCAGCCGTATTTTCTGCAATTACGGTACAAATGTGAGAATTGATTCAAGTTAATTAATTGTCAAACTTTCAAATATCGTTAATACCACAAATATTTACAATACATAATACAAAATATTAAACTTATACCTATGACGTTTTGTACAAAATTAATAAGCGAAAAACACATGAAAAACAAATTAATTTATTGACTCCAAGCACATAAATCACACGTGTATTAATATACATATTATGTACATTATTAATTCAATTAAGGCGCTTAAGAATTTATTTTAACTGACGTTTTTCATTGTAACATAAATGCAACAAATAATGTAGATACAATTTAATTATTGAAAACTATAATGTATGTACCGCTAACTTTATTGATAAATAGACTACTTATCTATAGATAAATAAACTAAAAAAGCTAACCACCATCATTTATAATCTATTTGTTGTTTGTTTGGAGTCTGTAATAGAAAATGAATAATATACCTAACAATTTGTATTTTATTCAAAAAATAAAAAGTTATTTGAACAGATATGTAGCTGATGTTGATATTACTGGTAAACAATTTATTAGTACAATATTGTAATAAGCAATGGTACATACATCATATTATTATAGTAATAGTACCAAAATATATTATAAAATAGTTTTTTTTTCATAGTGACATTTCTTTTCTGAATTAGAAATAATATTAAATGACTTTAGTTATTTATAAATCAAGTTTTTCGTATAATAGTAAAGGTAAGTTCATAAGCGTRTCTTAATAAATATTTTAATCAGTATACTGACATTATATTATATTTTGTGATACCAATCTTTAGACACTGTAATGCAAAACAATTTATGATAACAAAACGCAACTACTTATAATAGCCTTCAGCATAATATTACGATATGTAATATGTATCTAATATTGTGTGYCTACATCTGTAACAATATAATTTAAATATAAAGCCACAAAAAATGAAAAATTTAAATTTATATAAGGTTATGTACCTACTAAATAATATAATATTATGTTTGGACCTCTGAAAACATTATTTCTATTCGTCTTAACTTTAGGGTCTTTATAATTAGGTTTTATAATTGATGTATGCTAAATTTCCAAATGATACAATTAAGTGACGAAAAACAATAGGAATATCTAAGTTATTCGTTAAACCTGAGGGCATACACCGGCCATAATACATTATATTATAGATTATGATTTATGAATAATGATAATTATTATATTCGCATAGTCGCATATTAATTGGTAATTAAACTATAATCATGTTCATTTAAATGTGACTGATTTAATATATGTTACATATTTGATTTTGCATTAACATTTAATACCTACCTTAATAAAACCACAGAATAGATTAAATAGATTAATCTATTCTGTAATAAAACCACATGGATTTATCATTCATGTGTTAAAATTTGATTAGGTTAGGTTAAGTTGTATTTTATGATATKTCCTAATAGTATTTTAATACGCAGGTACTTACTTTATACTCAAATATAAAATATTAATTACGGGGAAACTTGAAATTTCCACCAATTAATTGCGGTTTTGCAATATTAAATAATAGACATGAAACAATTATTTGTTTTTATAAAATTGATATAATTGTTATTGGTCACGTTTATAAACGAATAAAAAATCAATATGTAACATAAAAAATTATAGTCTTCACTCTATAATATAATATTTGCAAGATTTTTGAACCAACCCACCGAACTATATTTGAATTTCACCTCCACAATCCTATCCATTCATGTATATTATACGATATGTGAGTTGTTGAGAATAAATCAGTCAAACTAAATAAAATAAAATATATACTAAAATAATTTTTTCCTTTTTAGAATTAAAATAAAATAAAATAGTAATAAAATGATTCATCTATATTTTCAATCACATTTCTACTTTTCCTTAAACAATTTTGGCCCGGTTTGTTGAAATGCACTTCAGATTTAACCCGCTTTAAACAAAAAAGATTTRACATCCGGATGTCGTCTAGAGYCCTAGCTAATATAAATCTGAAAATATTAAAATTTGTTATTCAAAATATTGTTTACARCCATTTAAGTTGAAATGTTTACACAACTTAGTATTTTGAGATATGACCTTATAATACCTAATCAAAATATGTATTTATTATTATACGTCTCAATAAACATAATTTAAGAGAATATTAAAAATAATTATCTTAATTTATTCTACTGTGTTCAGATCAGATAATAATTCTAATAATGTAACAAATACATGACAAATAATTTTATCAACCAATTTTTATTTAAGAACGATTAAATGATGACTGAAATGTACATATTTTATATTAATTATTAATTATTTCATTTTTAGTCTCTGAGAAGATAGTTAAAAAACTGAAAGGATTTTTTTATTTTAATGAATTATTTTTGTTGCTTAAATGTTTACTAATAGAAATTATGTTCTTATAAACGTTTTTATAAAATATCGTAAACCGTATAGATTTAGGTACCTATATAGATTGTACATTTTATTTATTTGGTACTTAAGACATTTTAAAGGTAATTTTTCGATCATTATATTGCTTTTCTAACATGTGTTGAACATAAACTATTTACCTGCCTAGACATATGTATGGCTGTAAATTAAAGTTATATATGAGTATTATTCCTATAAAACAAAATAAACATAAAATAAACTTTCTTTTTGCTATAATAGATTTTAATGTACCGAAAAAAGGTTTTAAATACTGTTCGATCGGGAGAATTATTGGAGTGTGTAAGTAAAAGTGTGAGATTATTAATTACCTWTACAATACGTGTTTTAAGTTTTAACTATAGCAAATAATAATAAAATATCAAATATCATAATTAAAAAGTAGACAGTTACCTATTTATGTTTTTAACTCCACGCGGGTGATTTTTAACAATCATTTAAAATCAAATTTAATATCATGTGTGGGCATTAACTTGATAAAAAGTTAATTARTTAGTTAGATTATTTTCTAATCGACTTAACTAGTTCAATGATTGACAGTTGAAATAACTTGGTTTTTCTCAGTTGAATTAAATCCATCAAGTAAATAACATTTTTGATTTTTTGTTTTGTTTATTAGTGACATAAATATTAGGTAATATAAAATAAGAATAATCCAATACTATAATAACACAAACATTTTTGTTCTTTTTCTTGATGAAATAATTTTGTTTATTTTGTTTATTTTGTATATTGTATAGATATAGATATTGTATAGATACGGGTATCCTTTATGTGATTTACCTACTAATTAAAAAAAATAATAGATTACCTTTTTTTAACTGAGGTAAGTTGATATTTTTTTTCCATATTAACTTTTAACTTCTCGAGTTAAATTTATAATTTTTTAACCTTAACTTTAACTTATCAACCCTGTGTCGTCTTAACTTTACTTGAGTTAATAATTTTCATTAACTTKCCCACCTTTGCATAATATTATACTTAGCATTTTCATCATTGTTTATTATACTTAGCATTTTCATCATTGTTTATTATACGCATTGGATAACAAATTGGATAAWAATATTCTCATATTATTTTGTTTAAAGATATATAAGGTTATGTTATATAACKTTATCTTGATGAAAATTATTTAAACAATGAAAATTACTTCATTACTTAGCCAAAGGTACGTTTAATTATTCTCTATTAACTCATTTTGTTATAGAAGCGTAATTAATGTAAATACGCATACAAATTCTGCCGTGAATATATTTTTTTTCACTCGTAAAAACTTTATTAAAACTTAATTTGCTTTTTTTCTTAGAATGCAATATTGTGGTGAAAAAGAATGACTGAATACAATATATTTCATTTTTCTATATTATAATGTTATATCACATCCCGGGACCTAACCATGATATATATGAATGAATTAAATATGTGCATTTAATACATTTAAATTGTAGTATCTTTTTTAACTATTTGAAATTATTTTTTAGGCACCACTAATATAGGCATCACTAATATATTTAAAATTATTTATAATTAGGTAGATATTTAGATATTTTTCAAAAAAAGTATTTTCAAGTAGCAAACACAATAACTGAAAACAAACAATAATTGTTTAATATAATAATTCAACTTATTAATCTTTAGATATGAAAACTAAAATAATAATAACAAAATTTAAACATTTTAAAATACTCTATATTAAATTTGTTATAATTTATGTTGATATTAAAATGGTGACAATTTTTAAATTTTAAAATATGATTTATGATTTATAATAATGTAATAATAACTTTCTTTTTAATCAAAATACACTTTCTTAATTAACGACGACATCTATCAAAATAACCACCGTAAAAATTAAATGCGACACCAAAGAACTATATCAAACAATATTATAAAATGTAATTTATTAAAAA